GTTATGTTCAGATTTCCATTATAACCCCCAGTTTTCACATGCTCTTAACTTTCTGAAAAATTCTTCTTTTCAGCTGAAATTTTCCATGCTTGGTCTCAGCTGAAAGATGAATTTCTTTAGACAGTTGAGCAAAATCCGTTAACCTATTTTTCAGTTATACAAGGATAAAAAGAAAATGCATTGTGCATTTTCAACTTTTCAAATATTTTAGTATATAGATACATAAATATATGGAACCTAGAAACAATTGAATTTTACATGCAGGCATTTTTCCAGGCAAGTAGTCCCCACCCAGGACTAACATCCATGCTAACTTATAAAACAAGTTAAACATGGAAAGGAAAAGAAACAGTGGAACTGTGTTGTGTTTTTGGGTTTGGTTTTTTTTTTGTTGTTGTTGTTTTTGTTTTGTTTTTGTTTTTTTTGTTTTTTTTTTTTCCTTACTAGTAGTAGTAGGTTAAAACAGGGTCACTAAAAATAATATTATGTACAGAATTATGGAATGCTATGGTTACAAAACGTTAATATTTGCAGGTGATGTAAATTCTGTACAGCTGTTCCAATGCAGCTTTCCTTCATGTATATCTTGAAATTGCCACTCTTGGCATATCAAATTAGAGTTATTAACATTTTCAGCATTTTTTTTTTCTCTTATATAAGCCCCGAAGTTACAAATTTAAACATTGCAGTATAAGACAATATCAGCTGTATTTGCCAACAGAAAGTTTTATGTGATAAGCTTAAGTAATCTGCATTGATCAGCAGGAGCCTGGCTACTCATTCCTTGGTCAGGCAAAAAGTCCACTGACTGAAAAAGGAATAAAGGAAGCTCCATAGTTATTGACTGTATCATTAAAAAAAAAACCAAAAACCGAAAGACTTTAGTGTGGAATGTGTTCAGCCCCAAATCCTTAATTTCTACCATCAGAACACAGAAGTAAAAGGACAGTGACAACATATTTTCAGCTTTCCAGAAAGTACTGGAACTATACACATTTCCAGAATTTACAAATCATCATCTTGACTCATAAGAGTTACTGTGTGCGGTCTTTCTTGAAAACAACATCTGAAATCATTTGGACTTCAAGGATGTGCTTCATTCCCATCGCTTTAAATGAAAGCTAAACACGTTTCTAAATGCTGTTTTCTTAGGAATGTAGACTGAAAGTTTTGCTCAAAACCTTCACTGAAACTTACTTTACAAACTGTTTTATTTGCCAGTGCTGTGCTTCAAATCTGATTAAATAAAGTTATAATTTAAAACTGGGATAACCACAGCAAATTGGCCATAATTTCTTTTATTATTTAATCTGTTGTTAACCTAATGATACTGAGTAGGAGGCTTTTGTCTGTTTATTTGCTTTTTATAAAAGGCCTTTCACTCTGAAGAATACATGTCGTTTTCCACTATATTTCTATGCAGTTGTTTGGTGTACTGACTTACTAATTTCAAGTGCATTTTAAAGTTCAATCAAATTCTGAAAAGAACACTGATTGAGAAGCCTGCATAGATTTCAGCATTCTTTATGAGTCATAACACTGATTTTGGAAGCTTAGCTATATGAGCTGGTGGTGTGTAACATCCTTTCCATACTCCTAATTATGTGAATTAGCATTTAGAACAATCCCAAGTTCAAGTATTCAAAAATGCTCTTTTCAGAGCATCCACCAGGTTTACTGCAAGATAGGCACTTTAAGAAGGCTTTGGTTTTTATACTGGGTACTTCTGAAACACCAACCTGTGCAATTCAAAGAGACATGTGAAGAAAAGACTTAACCACAGAATTTCCTCTAAAATTATCAACAATAACACAGAATCAGTAAAAAATATTAATAAATTTGGATTGAACGATTGATTTCTGAATTCTAAAGGCTTTCTGACACAGGTCCCAGTTCTAACAGATTTCTAGAGCCCAGCTCCCATTAGAAGTAATAGGATTTTGTTTAAATGAAGTCCAAGTGGGGACTTGGGTCTCATCTCCATACCAGTTTTAATTTAGTCATCTGCAAGATACACTTAATGTATATTTTGCTTGAACTGAAAGAAATTTGAAGTAGAAACATAGGATGCTAGCATTTCTTAGACAAATACTAATCCTATATTTCTTTCCCTATTTTAACACTCTCCACAATTCCCACACACTTTGCAAACCACACACAGAAAACTTATATTACAAGTAATTTACTACAACTTCCAGCATAAGACAAAGAAAAGAATTATTTTAAATTTCAAGAAAACAGAATTAAATATCTCTTCATGAAGGAATTAAAAAAAAAAAAGAAAAAAGAAAAAAGAAAAAAGAAAAAGTGTTTCCAATACTGTAACATTAGTTTAAACTACTGTTCAGAAAGATTTCTATTTTAAGTCTGAATATTTTGCTTAAAGGACATATTCTACAAAAATCTATTTAAAGGATTTATGAAAGACCTATGAAAGAGTATTTAACTGCAGTGCCAGTGCATGTTAGTCAAGATACATCCTAATCCCAGGAATTACAGAAAGAATAGTACAAAGACTGCTAATGATTACTGCCATTGTTGGCTGCTCTCCTCCAGCCAAAAGTGTTAAGGGGACATAAGGTTACTTTCTGAAACATGCATCACTGAGAAAAAAAACAACAAAACCTCAGCAGCACCTCCTCCTTCCCCACAGAATAAACGTACATAAACTCAGTTTAGATAACTGTCTGCCTAAGGAAGAGTTATACTTGCAGTTAGACATAATATTGCAGCTTTTGCAGGGAGTGATTCAAATCACATGATATGAATATTTGCTGACTTCAGAAAGGATTTAATAAGACTTCAGTGAAACCTGAATCATATCCATATAGAGAAACATAGATGGTTATTAAAATGAAACCAATACATTTAATATAATGAACATAACTAACTAAAAATACACCTGTAGGGTGTTTTTCTGTTTCTTTGTTTTTTTCCTAAATTAATTTTGCTCATAGTCAATTTCACTGTGCAGAGCATATACATTCTGTCAGGTAAATAATATTTCAAACCTTAAATTTCCCAGTTTACTGTGGGGGATTCAATCTGAGTTTCTTAATAGAGTTTGGAGAGATAATTTAAGATAATTCAACAACATCTCTGAACAGAAAAGGAATGTGTGGGTTGGAGGTGTTACATTTTGTAACTAAACCGAGGGGAAAAAAAAATCTCATGAAAACTTCAGCCAAGTAACCACTGATTATGCAGAGCTCTTCTACAGATTATTTTTGTTTGTTTTAAATGAGATCTTTTCTTAAACTTATGCAGACAGCATGTATATGGTGCTGTACAGCAGCTTAAAAACCGCCACTGGAGTTCACCACGACTTCAATTTCTTAGAAAGGTGACAGTTTTGTGAGAACCTTCTTAGATGTTTTCAGTATCTCACTGTTATCGGTTGTCTCAGAGTAGTTACTTTAGCAGAACTGCCTCAAAAGTGCTTGTTTTATTCTTAGTATCTTGTTAGTGTGACACCTTACAGACACCCAAAGTCAAGACAGTTCTGGATACACCACATTCATCTCAGATAAGGCTAATGCAACAGCAAGAGAATGACTTTATCCTAAACTTGGCTACTGTCAAAATCTTTTTGCAAAGACAAGCCTAAATGTGTCTTGCTTGATTCTGCAAGATTCGTATCTCTAATAAAATTCTGAGAAATCACCATAACTTGGAGGGTGCAGTGCCAACAGGCATACAAAAGTGATTCCTAACACCTAACAAGTTGGTGCAGTGGAAGCTAAGCACTTGGAAAGCTGCTTTGTAAACACACGAACTTAACTACTGACCAGCCCAGTGCAACTACCATTAAATAAAAGGTTCTTTGGCTGGAATATCAGCTTAGTCCTTCCCTCCCCCCTTTTCCTACCTACTGCAGGACTGGCACCAGGCCAGCGTAAGCGACATAGTACCTTAGTGCCATCTACAGGCTATATTGACATTCTAATTTAGTGGCAAAAGACAAGCGCCAATAAAATAAATTAGACAGCACTGCATTTAAATCTTTATTAGCAAGGAATTATTAGACCTAAGAAAAACTAATGCTGGATTTGGTTGAAATATGAGTTTCTCAGCCTCCTAATCCCTCTTCATATGGCGTATTTCACAGTTTAAAATGAGTTATGACAGATCACTTATGCATTACTAAGATGAGAAAATATTTACAATGGGCTGACTTCTTTCTGCATAATTCAGATGTATTCAGAGAACGCAATCCTTTTGAAAGTATGCTTTGGCCATTTTTTCAAAATATTCAAGGAACTGTCTATGCAATACCAACTTTAATCTATTACAACAAAATCATTTAAACTCAAAACAGAGGAAGACTTCCGTATGGCTTAGTTATATTCTATGAACAAACCACATGCTTCGCAGATGAAGTAGCTTGGAAATTCAGCTGTCTTTGTTAGGGAAAAAAAAATTAACCCCTTTAGTAGCACTAGCTTAATAAAGTTCCATATCAGCTTGAACTGTTAAAGAAATTCAAGCCAACTCACTCTCAAATTTGACATTGAATGTATACATCCCTTCAATCTCAAAACAGTCACGTTTTTCTAAATGAAATTTGGCATAAAAGAGGTTTTTCTTCAATAACGTTTACATTTGGGTAGTCAAAAACTGGGGAGAAAAAAAAAAACAACACGTCTGTTTATGCATACACATGTGCATATGTAAGGACCCCTACAGTCCTTTAACAATCAGTAATCTTCAGAATCCAAAGTACCAGAGGCATTTTGAAAATGTGTGGGTAAGCCCCAGGTAAGCGATAATGTGGTTGAGGTTTTTTTTCTTTGCTTTTGTTTTTTGTATGTTTTTTTTTTTTTAATTACTATTATTATTTTATTTGGTTGTTGTTTTTTGTTGTTGTTTTTTTTTTCCCCCCATAATATATTTAAGTTAAATTAGACTGAAACAAAAAAAAGAACATACTGGCACTTTTAATACTGGTTGATCGGGCACTTGTATGCAGTACTTATAGACCAGTAAAAGTGCTCGTTTACCTGTCTGGTGTGTAAGGGGCCCTTTGTCTTGAAGCCTCCTTGGGAACTGCACTCTGAGGCACTGAAGTGATCTGAACTAGTGGAAGAGCGTTTGGAAAGGGTGTCACAGCCACCAACAAAGGTGTTGTCCAAAGGGAGTTCCTGAATCACGTGGTGCTTTTTCACTGAAACGGGAGTGTCAGGTTTGAGATGAAAAGCAGACTGAGGAGAGGCAGATTTGTAATGCTTGGCAAGATCAGGACTGTTAGGCTTAAAGGTTGTTGGTGGTGCTGTGCCCCAATCAAATCTTCCTATACTTTGCTCCTCCAGCTCCGCTGGAAGGCTTATTGTCCCATTGATGGGTTCATGAACTGCATCATCAGGTTTGGACTCCTCAATGGTCACAAAGTTCAAAAGAGAACTCTTCGGAGATTTCCTTTTCTTCCTTTTCTTTTTCTTGCTTTGCTTGTTCTCCTGATTGGGAGACATCCATTCAGCACCTTGTTTGCTCCTCTGGGCGGTTTTGAATCTGGATGCATGCCGGCAGCGAACAAGAACAGTGACAAATATCACCACTATGACAACCATGGCACCTGCCACAATAGCAATCATGATTGTGAGATAGTCCTCGTTTTGGTAGGGTTGGCTACTGTCTCCTATGTTCCTGTCCAGAGGCGTTTCCATAGTCCTGCGTATCAAGTCATAAATATAAGAGGCATTTCCAGCAGTATCATTTACATACAAAAAAACAAGGACAAGAGTATGCAAAGATTTGGGATAACCCAAATCACTTATGTTGACAACTAAGCGATGCAGCCCCACATCATTAGGAGTTGGCTTTTCCTCCAGAGTGATGTTACCTGTCACTGGATCAATCCGAAACAGACCTTTGCTATTTCCACTCACTATTGTGTACTTCAGTTCAGCGTTCATTCCGGTGTCGATATCCACTGCGAACACTTCTGCTACCACTGATCCTGGAATTGCTGAGAGTGGCACCAGCTTAAAAGAAGTATTAGAAGGTGGGTAGATGACAACAGGACTGTTATCATTAACATCCATGACATTTATGGTCACTTTTGCTGTAGAAGAGCGAGGAGGTTGTCCTCCATCAACTGCCTTGACATCAAAGGTATAGGAGCTCTGCTGTTCTCGATCAAAAGAAACATTGGACTTTATAACTCCAGAGAAGGGATCCAGCACAAAGTTGTCATTGTCATTGAGAATAGAAAGGGTCACCGCTTTGTTTTCCCCAGCATCTGCATCAGTCACCGTGATCACCCCCACAGTGCTATACTTTGGTAGGTTCTCTGATACAAAAAACTGGAAATGATTATGAGTAAATTTGGGACTGTTGTCATTTTCATCCAACACAGTAACAATTACAGCTGCTTGACTCTGCAAAGGAGGGGTGCCATTGTCTCGGGCTGTAACAGTGAAAATGAAACGCTCCTGTTCTTCTCTGTCAAAAACTCTGGAGGCTGTCAAAACTCCCGTCTTTCGATCCAGATCAAAAAAGGAGGCATTAGGGCCAAGCTGATAAACAATGTCTGCATTTTTCCCACTGTCTTCATCTGTGGCACTAATAGTTGTTAAGTATAGACCGCGACGGTTGTTTTCAGAAACTGACAGCTCAATTACAGGCTGGCTGAAAATCGGAGGGTTGTCATTTTCATCCTCCAGCTTAACTCTTACCAGGGCAGTCTGGTTCAAACTGGGCTTGCCAGAATCAGAAGCAACAATTTTAAAGCTGAATTCTTTGGTGCCCTCGTAGTCCAACAAGGAAGAGGTCTCTAACAAATACTGGTTGTCGTAAACTGCCTTCAGGTGGAAGGGGACCTCTCTCTCAATGAAACAGATCACTTTGCCATTCACATCAGTGTCCTTATCTGAAACCGTAATTAGGGCAATCTTTGTATTGACAGGATCTTTCTCAGATAAGTACACTGTGCCATTGATGGGACTTATTATGTACCTGAGGTCTATGTTCGGAGGGTTATCATTTACATCAGTGACATTGATGGTCACAGTTGCCCGAGCTGGTGTAGAGCTGCCATCACTAGCCAGCACTGTCACTTTGTGAATAGCAGTCTCTTCCCGATCTAAGGACCTCTGAACTGTGATCAGCCCTGTGGTGTTGTTTAAAGCAAAAAATCTTTTGGTCGCAGGCGCAACTTGGGCACCAAAAATATATCTGATTTCTGCATTGCTTCCTATATCTGCATCTGTAGCATGAAGCTGAATTACAGAAGTGCCTACAGGCGCATTCTCTGGTATATGAACCTCTACTTGACTCTCTTTAAAAACTGGCCTGTTATCATTGACATCACTTACTGTGACTTGCAGGATAGCTGTGCTGGATTTCTGTGGGGTACCTCCATCCTCCACTTTGATTTTCATCACGTAGGTGTCCTTTTGCTCTCTATCCAAGTTCTGCTGCACAATCAGTTGAGGCCATTTCTCTCCTTCTGGAGTTTCTACAATATCCAGGCCAAACACACTCTGCCCGTTCAACAACTCGTAGTGCTGCACACCGTTGAAACCTGTATCAGGATCTGTTGCTGATGGGATTGGAAAGCGACTGTTGATCAGAGTGTTTTCTGGTATGGAGATATTGATGACAGGGGATGGAAACATAGGTGCATTGTCATTAGTATCCTTCACAATTATTTTTATCTTGATCAGCCTAAAGAAGTCATTGGGGAGAATCACCACTTCAAGTTCAAAGAAACACTCATTTTCTTCTGCATAGGAAGTGCCAGCGCAGAGTTTTTCTCTGTCTATTCTGTTTGATGTTGTAAAGATCTCCCCGGTGGTACTGGACACTTTGACCAGAGGGGCATCCCCTGCTTTAGACACCAGTCTGTAGACAAGGCTGGCACTGGTCCCCGTGGCAGCATTGATGTGAGAAATGTTCAGATCCTTTGGTATGTTTCCTATGGGGACATTTTCAGGCAGCTCCTCTCTAATAGTGTAAATAAGTTCTTGAGCTACAGCAGAATCCAGCCTTAAACAGGCAATCAAAGCGGTCAACAAGTAAAATTCCCTCAGGTCCATGATAATGTTTTTATTGTCTTTTCCTGGATTTTAGGACTTAAAGGTTTCCACACAGAAATGATGCGCAATTTGCAAGAGGAGGCATGCATGGACTGCAGGATGCATTACATCTCATTTCTTATTTGGAGACAGCACTGTCAACACAACCACACAGAACAGCATTATTGGTTTTTAAGGTATGACAAATCCACAATTTCCAACTACTACTTGTTTTTGCAAGGCACGCTTGCAGCAGTATGCTTTCCTACTGCTCCCCTTTACAAGCAATCCCTCTGGACAAATACACTAATATCCCATTGGCTGCGTTTGCAGAGAGCGAGAACAGAAATAACTACTTGCAGGATTAAGGGTAGCTGCAGTTTCAACACGTACTTTCTGAATAATTTCTTGGCACACCGTGTAATCCGTAACGTGCGTTTCCCTTCTACCCTCCTCCACCCAGTCATTTGGTGCAAGCAAAAATCTTCCTGTACTTCTGCTGGATTCTAACTGCTATGGCAGCTGCCAAATGTCATTTGCTGTTTGCTTCCATACGCATTTTTCAGCTCTTGCTAACCAGATTTCTCTCTGTTCCCTGTGCCTTGCATCCCCCACTACTGTGATCGTACTGGGAAATAACCACCCGGACATGCTGCTGCTGCAGCAGTCGTCACTGGCGACTTCACATCCCTGTTAACTGATGAGACAATAACAGGACTTACAGTTTCTTACACTTTCAGCCCAGCGTATCCTCTCTTGGATACTTCCCCTTCTGTTTAATAACCTTAAACTTTATTTGTTTGTTTTAAAACACGGTCTAAACCGAGGGGGCTGGAAATTCCAAACACAACTTAGGAGCAGCCAGTATGTTTACAGATGGAGGGGGTGAATATATTTTCTGAATATAAGGGAAGGAAAAAAGGTACAGCCTTTCAGCCTTTCTCCATTGACACTGATCTCCCTTTAGGATGTTATTAGCAGCTGCCACACATAAATACTGCAGACTAATAATGCAGGTTAAAAAAAAAAAAAAAAAAAAAGAAAGAAAATAAATAAATAAAGAAAAGCGACAGAAGGACTTGTGTTTGCATGCTCTGCTAGCTGTGAATTACCCGGGAGCAAGGCTCCAGCACCTGCAGTTTGGGGGAACTGGGCACCCTCAGCACTAACCTTATCTGCATTAAGCAGCACGGGAGCTGCTGCCCGTGATTACTTCCAGCGGAGTGATGCAGGTAGGGATGCAGAGACAGGGAGTAGGTGAGCCTTTGCCACCAACACCGACTGAATCCGAAATACTGATCCTTTCCCTAGATAAATACACTGTGTGTTGGCTCTGATTATTATTTTGTTAATGAAATGCATCACGCTGTATGGGTAACTTTGCACTTACGTTGGTTGTCTACCTTTGATGATCTGCTGCAGCTAAGCAATGATCTGTTCCAGCAGATACAGCACAATGCATCTGGTAAACCACCAGTTTTGGAGAAATCAGCAGCAGCCAAACGCTTCCTCCTTGAGATATGTGTTGCTTCGGGGTGGCAAATTAGCAACTCCAGGGAACAAATTCACAGTTCTGTCGTTAGTCATCCTCTCCATGTTTCATTTCTATTAAGCGGCGATCCTTCGGGTGCTTAACGCACACGCAACAGCGCAAACAAGCAGCAAGCAAAAATCCGGTGCACTTCTTTAGATGGGGAGTATTTTCCACTCTGCACTGCACACAATTTCCATCCCTCTCTCACCACAGCAGAGGCAGCTACATCAAGTCTGCAACTTCTTACTGGAAATGACAGAGTTGGTCTGGCGTTCCTTTTCTCCCCCTTCTTACCTCTGGGTTGATAGTTGCACACATTAAAAAAAAAAAAAAAAGAGAAAAAAAAAAAAAGAAAAAAAAAAGAAAACAAAGGTTAAAAAAAAAAAAATCCTAATAGATTATTGCTTTAGTGATGGGAGGAAGCGACAGCGCTTTCCCTCCTCCCTTCCAGTCTCCCTCTCACGCACACTCTCCTTCTCTCTCTCTCTCTCTCTCTGAACTGAAATTCTTGATATAACTCTCAATAAGCCCAGAGGGAGGGTGTGCGCGGCGCTAAGCCCCCCCTCCCGCCGCACCGCATTGGTCCGCGCCGGCGGGGGAGGCGGCTGCCGGAGCGCGGCTCTGGCATTGGCCGCCGGGCACGTCGCTCCTTGGGTCGGCCGGGCGGAGGGGGCGGCTGGCGGGCGGCCGGCGGGCGGCGCGGGGAGGGAGGGGGCGAACAAGCGCGGAGCCCCGCGGAGAGGGGGCGGGAGGCGGAGTGCGTCTCGGGTCGCCGCGCTCCGGGAGCAGGCGAGAGCGCGACGGGGAGCTGGAGCCGCCCTGGCGAGTGTGGGGTGCCCCGCTGCCGGTTGCAGCAGTGATAGAGGATATGCGGCTAATCTGGGGAAAATAGGGATGTTATGGCTTTTTTTTTTTTATTGGGTGGGAGTGGGGGAGTTCAGCGAGCGCGCCCGTCCGCGCTGCGCGGAGGGAGCGCGCTCGGGGCGGCGGTGGCTGCGCACTCTCCGCGGCCTGCCGGCGCGCCGCCCGCAGCAAGCAGCCTGCCCCGGCCCGCCGCTGCGTGGTTCGGCTTTATATTTAATACATGCCTTTTCATCTATAATTCACGCTGCTCAGACTCCAGCCACGTCTCGGCTCCCATTTACGCCTGCACACCTTTCTCCTTCCCCTTCCCGAAGGGTCAGCGGAGATACTCGCTGAAGGAAAGGGAGAGCTGTTTAGCTGCTTGTGTTTCTGTCTGCTTAAACATCGAGCTGGAAAACACTTTTCTGTGGCCTGATAAATAATAAAAGTGATCACTTCTCTTTCCCTGTAAATGACACAGGTAAATTATCCAGCTAGCCACAAAGCAGCATCACATGCCTGGAAGACGGTGTAATAAAATGCCGATGTGTTATGATACAACTGACCTCAAAAGTGTGACAAGAGGATGATTATAGTACATTATATATGGTGTGTTATATGTAGTGCATTTTAAAACATTTTCTGAGGCATGAATGAATCTTCATTTGACTATGCTTTTACTGCTAGCTTTTCTCAGCTTGAACTTGGAAGCCGTATCACACAGTACCTATCCAATTTAGTATGCCTAGATACATGGCCACGCTGGTTGCTGTTTCTGGTTAAGCCTTTCAAATATATGTGCATACAAAAAGAAAAGATAACATCGGTATTTATCTTCTTTCATATGTGATATTGTAACTAAAAAGTGTCTGCTGTTTCAGTTGATAGCGTTGGCCAGCAAGAGATCCAAGTTACTGCCTCAAAGATTTTAGAAGATTTTACATTTTCAGATGCAGGCTCCTGCCTTCAGATTCCAATATACATACACACATACGGCACAGTGTTAGGCAGTTATGGAAGCTCCTCATATCTGTTAGAGGTCAGTAATTTTCATGGCTTGGTTTTCTGTGGCACATAGTGATATTACTGTGGTACATTCCCTTGGAAGTGATAGAGACTGATAATACACTCTGTATGTGAACACTGCAATCCTGTTGTTGCATGATGTGTAAAGATTAAGCAGTCTTAGTTTTGCAGTGCTTTGTATTTGTGTCTGAAAGACTCCTATTACAGACACAGAAAAAAAATTGATCCTGGTTTTGATGACATCAAGTAATGGTAGCAAACGGAACTGAATCTAATAATAGTTGAAAAAAAATGTTCATTATGTAATACAGGAAGGATGGCTAGAGCCCCAGCATTGAAAGTCAAGCAAGTGACACAAAGGAGCAACCTCACTGCCAAACCACTTAGAAAAAAGAATTCTGTGAATGAATTAAGTATGTGATCCTTTCGTCTTCTAAAATACAAAGCAGAACAGCCATTAATAAAGAAGATAATTAGGACTGTGAGCTTTCTGTGTAATGCAGTCTGCCTCTGAAATATGGCGTGTTTATGTACGCATTAATAATGCACACATTTTTTCTGACACTAGTCATATCACAGCAGTATGGCATCACAGACGTTTTATAGCCTCATTCTAGTAACATCACAGACATATAACATTCTTATTCTAATCACAGCATAGTTATTTCAATGTCACACTGTAGTCACATCACATAGCCTGGTAATAATTATTTAACTTTATTGCTAAGCTGAATAGTTTTCTGTTTGCTCAAGGATGACTTTAACTTGTAGTCAGAACTGATTACCACATGCTCATAAATGAGTTCTTCTCATGTATGCAGGTTTAGCCTGTGTTAGGAAGGGAAAAAACAGTGAACAGAGAACTAATCATGGTTGGATTCAAGCTACAAATATTGTAAAATAGATAGTACAACATTTCCATTGTTTTCTGAAGCTACATTAGAAAGCCAGAGGTGTTTACTTGAAGTTCTGCCACGTTAATGTTTCTGTGCTTGCTTTGAAATGCTGTAGTTCTTTAACTAATCATGCATTGTTAACCTCTTGAAAAAGGCTACAGTGTTTGCACAGCAGATTGTAAAATTGTGTCTCGGAGCACCAAGGGGGCTAGAACTGTCACGACTACTAATAATATTGGAAGAAAATTAATACAAGCTCAAGTCCTTGAGCAGGAATCAGAATCACACAGCACACTATTATGCAGTCTCTGAAATTTGAGGAACTGCTGTTCAACATTTCCCATGTTCACTTGAGTAGCCATGTTTTATCCTCCAGTAAATGTTTATTTGGCTGATCTTACATTTGGGAAAACTAAGACATGTGGTGTTTGGTCAAATGGCAGCTATGTACTGTTATTTATACTGTTCCTTGATAGCCTTTCTTTACCGTGATGTATTAGGCCTTTGTCTGCATTTAAGAACACTGGTCTCCTAATCACATCATAACCTATTAAAATGACTTTTGTATTACAGCGTATTAACTATTCATCCACATCATTGCATGTTATCTGCGCCTCCATATTATTATGTATCGAATTCTTTTCCATATCATATTTGACTTGAATTCTAGCATGCTAGAAACTGACTCCAATTATTCTGTACTAGCTATAGTCAAATTGCAC